AACATCAAGTTTCTTAGACTCAGAGGGAGGCACTGGGTGTCTATTGTATTAGTATTCTCTACACTGGACATAACCTTATGCATGCTGTGGCCCGCATGATATATTTCCATATTTTTTCTTCAAAGAGGGTGAATTGGAGCTAACAGTGGAGATGGCTAACATAAGTGCAGGGTGATTCTCAGGGAAGGCACAGGGAATGGAGCAGCTCAGAAAGAACGCGAGGTCCCAGGAGCATCGTTCCTAGATGAGTGAGCCAGACCATGCTCATGAGAGTGATTTCCCTGTGAAAGCCGCTCTCCCCTTTGGAGCCCAACAACGGGGTCTCCATTTGGGAAAGTCTGCACCTTATATGCCTAAACGTAATAATGCCAGCTCAGACACTTGTGGTTGCATTCTCAGTAAGAATTCACTAATCATGCATAACAAACTATGCAAAGGGGTTTTGTTGGTTTGTTTGTTTAAATCCAGTAAGTTTTCCACTAGAGGTAACTCAATCCTCCACTAGAAATGAACACGTCTTTCCCGCACAAGCCCGATGAGTTTCAGGAATCTTGAGGTATAAGCAATTATATTGTTACAGTATTTTTGTCTCTGAAAATCTTTAAAACGTTAATATGTATTATGACATTTTTGATTATAGTGGAGGAGGGAACAATTCCTGGGTGATTTAAAAAAAGACCTTATTCCCAAATGTCTGAATTACTGTTGTTATAGAACCTGTTTCAGCATCTGCAGGTTTTGCTAATGAGGAAAGCCGACAGCCACATGAAAGGCTGCATGGTAGAATTCTGGCTTGGAGACTTTCTGACTTGTGTAGCTTGGCTGGTAAGTTACTGATAGAACAAAAAAACAGTCACTTCCCAGCTGTTCTGTGGCAGGACAAAATGTTAAATTTAAACCATTAAATAGTTCTGGAAGCAAAGAACAGGTGGCAAATGGCTTCCCAGGCAGATGGCCCTTTTTAATATCTATTTGGTAGTTACCTGCTCTACCAGAGACTGAAAGTACTCACTCATATTTCACTCTTCTCGCCCGAACGCTTCAGTCATGGTGGGCCAGATTTTAAAAATAAATGTTGTCTTTCTTAAAAGAAGAATCACTTTGGCTGAGCACAATGACTCACGCCTCTAATCCCAGCACTTGGGGAGGC